GCACCACATTCTGATTCACAATAGAAAACGAAGCTAGCCAAAGAGCACTTTCCATTCCCATAATCGTTTGGTTTTAAAGTAGGAAATTTTTTCATTCCTATACACTGTTGAAAACTTTATTACCCTAAATGTTCATGTTTAGTAAATTACCCTACCCGCACAAGTTTTGTTTACAAAATATATGCATTCCATCTTAAAAGGCTCCCAATCTATTATTAGTGCCTTCAATTAAGGGATTTAGTTACACCCTTTTCCTTTTTTTTTCTCCTCTTTTCTTTCCATATTTTTCAACAATCGTAAACTTAGTTTCATGATAAATCCTCACATTTCAGTAAACTTATTTGTTCATGAACTGATTGCTAGTAAGTATTACATATATTCCACATATGCTAGCTGCATGATAATATCGTAAATGTAAGATCATAAAAAAAATTAACTAAACAATAACCTAACTAACTATTTCTTCAAGTGTTGATTAATTTCCTTTGTTTTTTCTTCTTGTCTGTGACGAAAGTTATATTTTTTTGTTAGAATTCTGTAAATTTCAATTTTCACCTTCCATCAGGATGCTTTCTAGCAACTTGGATCAAGCTTCTGTAAATTTCAATTTCAATACTTATCTACAACTTGGATCAAGCTTCTGTGAATTTCAATTTCAATACTTATCTACAACTTGGATCAAAATATATACAATCCACCTTAAAAATAAATTTCATACAACTAGTTATATATTATACAATTTATCTACAACTTTCATACATTATTTTTACCCAGTTAAATACAATTATAATAACATACAACTTAAATACAAATTTTATACAATATGTCTTTTGTATATTTTGTATTTGATTTATACATAGTAAAAACAAATTTCATACAACTAATTATATATTATACAACTTATCTACAATTTTCATACATTATTTCTACTCAGTTATATATAACTATAATATCATACAACTTAAATATAATTTTTATACAATGTTGTTCAACTTTCATACAATAGTTAAATAAATAAAAGAATAATATATAAACAACAGAAAATAATTTTCTACAATTTTACTACAATTTCTGCAGTATACTGTATACCATGTCGTCGTCTTCTTCTTCTTCTTCTTCTTCTTCTTCTTCTTCTTCTTCTTCTTCGAGTTTCAATCCGAAATTCAGCCAAAACCAAGTCTAATCTTCACCAAAACCCCTCAAAATTGAGATATAAACTCCAAACCATATTCCCAATTATTTGCAGCAACACCCAATCCAAACAAAAAATGATTTTTGAAAACCCAGATTCGAATTCAAATCTTTAAATGGC